TTTTTTTTTTAAAGACAGGGTCTTGCTCTGCCCTCCAGGCTGGAATGCAGTGGCGGGATCACATCTCACTGCAGGCCTGACCTCCCCAGCTTAAGCCATCCTCCCACTTCAGCATCCCAAGTCGCTGAGACTACAGACATGAGCCACCACACCCAGCTAATTTTTACATATTTTTGTAGAGATGGGATCTCACTATGTTGCCCAGGCTGGTCTAGAAGTTCTGGGCTCAAGCAGTCCGCCTGCCTCAGGCTGCCAAAGTGCTGGGATTACGGGTGTAAGCCACTGTGCCTGACCTAGGCTTACTATTTGTGTGTGTGTGTGTGTGTGTGTGTGTGTTTGTATGTTTGAGACAGTGTCTCGCTCTGTTGCCCAGGCTGGAGTGCAGTGGCGCGATCTCGGCTCACTGCAACCTCCGCCTCCCGGGTTGAAGTGGTTCTCCTGCCTAAGCCTCCTGAATAGCTGGGATTACAGGTGTGTGCCACCACGCTCGGCTCGGCTAATTTTTGTATTTTTAGTACAGACGGGGTTTCACCATGTTGGTTAGGCTGTTCTCAGACTTCTGACCTCATGATCCACCTGCCTCAGCCTCCCAAAGGCTTGCTATTAAACACAGGTATGTAGAAAAAATTTAGATAATTAGTATTGGCCGTCTTCCCAAGGCAAGCCTAGCATGCTTTGTCACCCAGGCTGGAGTGCAGTGGTGTGATCTCGGCTCCCTGCAACCTCTGCCTCTTGGGTTCAAGCGATTCTTGTGCCTTAGCCTCCCAAGTAGCTGGGATTACAGGCATGTGCCACCACGCCCAGATAATTTTTGTATTTTTAGTAGAGATGGGGTTTCACCATCTTGGTCAGGCTGGTCTTGAACTCCTGACCTCAGGTGATCTGCCCACCTCGGCCTCCCAAAGTGCTGGGATTATAGGGGTGAGCCACCATGCCAAGCCCCTAGGTTATTTTTTAAACAATATTTTGATTTGAGGTTTGTGTTGAGGGGTGGAGAAGTAGCAAATGGTGATGGATTGTGTTGTTTTAAAAATAACCTGGTGGGAAAATTCACTTAACTCAATTATCTTTACCTTTCTACATTTGTTTTCCAAACAGAAGGACAGTTCTGTTTTTATTCTAAGGTCTGTTTTTCTTCATGGATAAAGAAGAAACCTGTATCACAAAATGTTTTACATTTTTATATTGAGATAGGACACTGAATTCTATTTTGGGAAGAGATTCCACTTCTTCAAAATCTTGTGTTATTTCAGCATTGATTTTTCTTTTCCTTTTTGTTTTTTTTTTTTTTGGAGACAGAGTCTTGCTCTGTCGCTCAGGCTGGAGTGCAGTGTCACGATCTCAGCTCACTGCAACCTCCATCTTCTGGTTCAAGCAATTCTGGTGCCTCAGTCTCCTAAGTAGCTGGGACTACAGGTGCACATCACCATGCCCAACTAATTTTTTTATTTTTTATTTTTAGTAGAGACAAGGTTTCACCATGTTGACCAGGCTGGTCTTGAACTCCTGACCTCAAGTAATCCACCTGCCTCAGCCTCCAAAGTTCTAAGATTACAGGCATGAGTCACCGCACCCGGCCTGATTTTTTTTTTTCCAATAAGTCTGTGTAACAAACCCTTAAATGTGAATCTAAGCACCAGGCTTAATATTTCAGCCATGGTGAAATGCACACTGAAAGGCAAGGGAGGACCGACACAGTTAAAGTGACTCATGTTAGAATGCAAACTCCCTGAGGACAGGAGCTTTGTCATGATCTGTCTACAGAACCAGGAATATTTGTTGAATGAATGAATGTTGGGCCTGTCTCCCCTTACTACTGTGCTTGTAGCTCAAAAGTATTTCCACTGATGGTACAGAAATCCTTCTTTGGAAACTGGATCTCATGTTCATTATGAGTGATTGGTTCAGGAATAATTGGCGTAAAGTTTATGGTGGTATCATCTGGATTCGTGTCCTTTGTGTAGCTTTCGGTGCTCCAGGGAGAGGAGGCCAGTTTTGGAGAAAGTTTGCTGATGGATAACTTGGGAGGACTCTCTGATTTCTCTACTACTTTTCTTTCTGGAAAATATAATTAATCACGAGTTCAGATGGAAACAAAGATTCTTCCTTTTGACTCAGGGCTGAATTGTAGCAAGGAGATTTTTGAAGAGTTATTACCTGGGGAAACGAAGAGTTTTGCTGTAGAAGCTGCAGTGCCAGCCTCATTTTCTGCAATACACTTGAACTCCTCAGAGTCTTCAGGAAATGCTTCTGTGATAAGGTGCAGACTTCCTGTGGAAAGAGCAGAAATTCAACTTGATTAGCGTATTTGGATGCCCCAAACAGACGTATAGTGTGGGAGGATGTTGGGGAGAGTAGGTACTAGGAATAAATAGATTATTCCTGAGATTTAAAAAAAATCTATCTGATTCAGTATTTTCTCTTCTCAGTGGGCTCATAAAGATAAATATTAAAAATACAACCCCATTGGCTGGGCGCGGTGGCTCACGCCTGTAATCCCAGAACTTTGGGAGGCCAAGGCAGTGGATCACCTGAGGTCAGGAGTTTTAGACCAGCCTGGCCAGCATGGCGAAACCCTGCCTCTACTAAAAAATTACAAAAATTAGCCAGGTGTGGTGGCGGGCACCTGTAATCCCAGCTAATCAGGAGGCTGAGGCAGGAGAATCATTTGAACCCGGGAGGCGGAGATCATAGTGAGCTGAGATCGTGCCACTGTACTCCAGACTGGGTGACAGAGCCAGACTCCATCTCAAAAAAAAACAAGAGAAAACAAAACAAAAAGCCCCATTAATTGTACATTTCAAAATAGCTAGAAGAGAGTAATTTGAATGTTTCTAGTGTAAAGAAAAGTAATTTAGGCGATGCATATCTCATTTACCCTGATTTGATTATATGAATGTATTAAATTATCACATATACCTTGAAAATATGTACATCTAATATATATCAATAAAATAAAAAAAAATCTAAAACAATCCCATCATGGTTCTTATCAACTGCCTCTTAGACATGTCTGTTTTCTCTACTAGACTATGAAATCCTTGAAAGCAGGGATTACATTTTATTCCTTGATTTCTAGAATTCGGTAGCTTTAGTCCTATAGAAACATACTCTGAACTGAACTAGAAATTATCACTACCGTCAGACTTAGACCTAATGTTAATGCAGAGATGGCCACAGTGTGATGGTCATCACACCTTCTTCCTGGACAGTGAGCAGTTTGGATGTTTGATGTCAGGACACCTCCTTACTGCTTCTGTGTAAAGTTCATGAGTCACAAATCCTAACCCAAGTGGGATGACAGGGAGAATGCATATTCTTTGAGAGCAGGGACCTTGTCAGTCTGGTTCATTGCTGTCTTTTTAATACCAAGAACAGAGACTAACCATAGTCTATACTCAGTAAACCTATGTTGAATTAATAAATATATGAATAAAAACACTGATAAATCCCAGTTACTTTGTTTCTTCTGCTGTGTCAGTTCAAGAGTTGGTGTAGGGGAGCCTCAAAAGAGCTCATGAAGGCAAGAGTGACTTAGGGGACAAAGTCTTCTGATGCTAATGTTGATTTAGTCAATTATCAAGATTTTAAGAAATTATAGTTACCAGGAAGGGATGATAAACTTCTGAAAGATAAAACAAGAAACAAGAGAGAGAATTTAAGTGATGATAATTAATTTAGTTGGGAGAAGGGACCATATGTATATGAGAAATACCTGGAAGCAAATACAAAATTGACTAATCTGGAGTCCCAGACAGTAAGTAAATTCTTCAGAAACTCAGAAAAGGTACATAAAGGAATGATAAGTGGCAGGGTACAAGAACTTGATTTTAGTTCTGCTTCTACCACTAAATTGTTCTGTGACCTTGTGAAAATTGCTTTACTTACCCAGACTTTCTTTATCCCTAAGATTAGACCGATTGAATATATCTTCACTGAATATGAACACTGTTGAACACACTAATACTGAGATGGCCTTTTTCACCCAAGAGAATCATTTTTTCCTAATTTCTTTGATTAAAATAAAATGGAAAATTACATTATAAAAATACTGTAGTATTACCGTAGAAAAATATATGAAAGGTTAATAATGGTTTTCTCTATTTTCAATTTTTTTCTTCGTGTTATGTATTTTCTAGGTTTTTTATAAATTTGTATTACTTTATTTTCAACAATACAACAAATGTTGTTTAACAGAAATATCATATCCTTTTTGTAATAAGATTTTTTTCCTATATGTGATGTGTAAATATTTAGTTATTTTGAATTAATATTTAAATGAGTATATTTTCTTCATTTGGCATAAGAACCATCTTGGATTTGAACACTGGCTTCAGCATTTACTAGCCTTGTGTCCTTGAGCGAGATTTTTTTGTATTTCTAATTTTAGTTATTTAAAAATTAGGATAATAACATATATTTCAAAATGGTTATGAGAGGATTAAATGAGAAATTGTTTATAAAGTATAAACTCATTGTTTAGCATAAGATAGATCATTATACTTACTACCCTTCTCCAAATTAATTATCTTGTAGGAAAATTACCCAATAAAGTAAAAAGTTATATATCAGTTTTTTTATGTTTTACCCTTTAAGAAATGTTTATTCTCATATTTCTTTTTGTTTATATGTCAAGAACTCATGAAAATAAGATTAATTTACGATAAACCAATATTTTCACAGCTATGAAAATTACTCTTTCATCAAAACAGTTTTCTCTGTTGGTTGTTGAGAAATCATTTGGATTTGAAATAGTGATTGTTTAACAGCACAAATCTTTAAACCTTTAAAAAATCAGCAATTAAACTTTAAAATATGAAGTAGACTTCAAGGTTAACTGGAATTAAAAACAATTGAAAGGCTTATCATGATACTTTTCCTCAGAATCCGTAAGTCATCTGAGTTGGTTATCTGCACGTTCTGTCTGTACCAGTGAACTTGAACTGTGGCTGTGTCCTGGATTCTGCATTCAAACATGACTGGCTGATCTCTGATTGTAGGGATGTCTTGAAGATGCTGAAGAATAAACACAGAGTTCAGAGGATGGAAGAAACTGTTATACCATCTACAATGATTTGATATGCCATTTGCAGTAAGAGTGCATTTTTTTTAATCATAATTATTGACAGCTGACTATATCTTAAGGCACTGTTGGGCATTCTTTTGGGCTTTGTAATGTGCTTTACAGTCAGGTGTAAATTATTTTTGTCTTCATAGAATTATATTTAATGAGAAAGTTATTATTTCATTTCACCAAGAGCCATTTTTTTTCAAATTAGAAAACAGATTAGTTGAATACTCTTTCTTTTGTTATATTTGACTATTTTGTTGAATACATATCTAATCACAGATTTAGTCTTTATTATTGGTCACAGTAGCATGGGCAGTACAGTAATCACCCCTTATCTTCAGGGGACACATTCCAAGACCCCCAGTGGAAGCCCGAGACCATGGATAGTACTGAAACCTATGTACGCTGTGTTTTTTCCCATACATATATACCTGTGATAAAATTTATAAATTAGTCACAGTAAGAGATTAACAACAATAACTGATAAAATAGAACAATTATACCAATATACTATAATAAGAGTTATGTGAATGTGATCTCTGTCTCTTTCTCTGAAAATATCTTATTATACTCTATTCATCTATTTTCAGACCGCAGTTTACCGTGGGTTGTTGAAACCACAGAAAGTGAAACTGGATAAGGAGGTGAGTACTATATTGTAATTTGTTAAAGAGCCCTGAATCAGGGAACTTGGGCCAAAATGTTAACTCTGCCACTGGCTGATTGAAGCATGTTATAGGAACTTGGAAAAGACTATTAACCTCTCTGGAACTTAAGTTCTTCGTCTGTGAAATCGGGCTAGCAAAATGTGTGGGGTTTTGAGGCTCATTTCACAAAGGTCTGAAAACTTCCTATAAAGAATAAGAGTTATACAAATATATAAAAAGGGTTTATAGCTAGTTTAGTATCACAATGTATAAATGAATGGATGGCATTTACGTTAAATTTACCCCTTAAATCCTGATCTTTCTCCTCCCTCTACCTGCACCCCCAGAGTACCCTGGAATCTGTAATGATATTTCAGATTATAACTTGGCTGTGAGACCAGAGAGTGGGAATCTGAGGTCTTTCTATCAGGTGATAGACCAGCCTAACCCTTCAGGCTTGATGCCCAGAGGTCTCAGGGCATCTTATAGGGAAGGAATGCAGCAGGAGAGACTTGTAGAAGTAACAGACATGTACCTGACAGCATCTGTTGAAAGTGAGCTTCCAGAATCAATAGCAATGTCACTTACTCTTAATGACATTGTTTCATTTGTCTCCCATCCTGTATCTGGTACAGATTAAATCCCTGCCCTGCATTTCATACTTTGAGCCAGCATTGAGCATTTATTCCAATTCTGCCAGGTTTGGTAATTGGGAGACAGAGAGCTCAGAGAAGGCTCAGCCCTAGTTTTGGTTTGACCTGGGTGATTCAATTGTGCTATTTCCAGTGGGTGAGAGGGAAGATAGTGATTCCTGGCTGTGACCTAATCAGGACTCAGTTACTACTTTGCTTGTTGACTTCAGAACGGCATTTTATGGCTAGTTAAGAGAATTTGACTCTATTTTGAGGTCAGGCAAAGCAGTATCCCTAGAGGGGACAGTCTAAGCATTGCCCTCCAGAGCTGGAGGACTGCCACAGAGCAGAAGTCTAAAGAGCACAGGGTAAACCATGAATTGCTCTGTGACACTGAGCAAATCATTTCACCCCTTTTCAGCCTCATTTTTCTCATGTATAACATGATAATAATCTCTGAAATCCTTTCTGGTTTCCCCTTTTTTTCTTCTCACTGCTTCACTAATGTCTACAACTTATTTATAAAATCTAAACTCCATCATGCAATATGGAGGAGTTACCTTGGTAAACACAGAGGGTATTACACAAGTGGATCCTGACAGGCTGCTGCAGGGACTCTGCATCTGGTTTAAGGAATAAAAGAGAATATGATGCTGTCACTCATACTGTCAAAGCCCTGAAACTCAGGTCCATGGTGGCCAAAAACTAACGGGCTCAGTTCTAGCTGCTACTGACCACACCTTAAGTTTCCTTTATGAAAAGCATGATGCTTCTAATTTCAGTGTCAGTTTGGGTGTTTGCTCCAGTGCTACACTTTCTTCTTTATCCTCCAGCATTCCATTAGCTGAGATGGAGAAATACAACACTGGGCAATTGTATTTGGGAAATGCATATTGGCAAGTATTTAGATACTATATATTAAACGTTTTAAAAAACTTTTATATTTTACTGTTTTTTTTTCTTCCTCCATATAGTTGTTCTTCTTGGATCTTTTGGGTTTTCAAAAAAGCATCTCCCTCCCCCGCCTTTTTTTTTTAAGTTAGCAGAGAATTCATTCCTCGGATAGTTGGAATACTCTCTTATGGGAACAAGTTCCTAGAAACCAACTGTCCCTTATCGTCTGGCACACAAAGAAAGGGCCAAGTGATAGAGCTACCATGGAGTTATTTCTGAAACCTGTGGCTTTCTTTCTTGTTCTTTTGAGGTCATGTGGCTAGAGGCTTTCTTCATGTATACTTCTTAAGAAAACTGCATTGACTCCTTTTTCTTGGGCCTATGTCTGCATTACTAGGACCCTCTCAGAAGGCTTAAAACTGAACTTACCCTCCAGGTATTAATATACAGTGGTTGAACTAAGGTAGAATAACTTGATCTGTTGTTGGAGGTTTCATTTGCTGGGGAGCTGATGGTCAGAGAAACTCTAGTGGTTTTCTTCTTTATCCGGTGAGGGAAACAAAACCAAACACCATCAAGTGAAAGAAAGATTAGAGGCAACTTGGATAGAAATGCCTCAGTGTATACACATTTGAATGTAGCACATATTTTTACATATAATCCTTATATTTCTCTATATTTGCATAATAATTTTAATACTTTTTTTTTTTTTTACCAATTATTAGTGGATTATGGTTCTGAATAGTTTCACTTTAAATTTGTTTTGTTTCAGTCTGGTAATCAGGGGTGTTATGAAATACTTATGTTGTCTAGAAGAAATAACCTGTAAAGCAAATAATCACTTCAAAGTTTCTCTGCAAAGTCTTAGGTTTTTTTTTTGTTTTTGTTTTTTTTGGTATTTTTTAAAGTGGAACTTTCACTATATTCACACGCAACAAATGCGCATCCACATGAGATTCTGCACTTACTCTGAAATTTCTGTAGCACATTTCAACCACAATCCCAGAGATAAAACTTTTCCTTACTTCCCTGAGCACCTGCAAGAAAGAGAAAAGATAGATTTGGTCTAAATCTCATTGGATTTTAATACAATTTAGTTCCAGTGTGTTGTATTTACACTCGGACTAGCAGCAGGTGTTGGTTACAGACAGGTTAATCCAGAACATCTGGATTCTTTTTTTTTTTTTTTTTAGATGGAGTCTTGCTTTGTTGCCCAGGCTGGAGTGCAGTGGTGTGATCCTGGCACACTGTAACCTCCACCTTCCGGGTTCAAGCTATCCTCCCACGTGAGCCTCCTGAGCAGCTGAGACTACAGGCTGCACCACCATGTCTGGCTAATTTTTGTGTTTTTAGTAGAGACGGGGTTTCACCATGTTGGTCAGGCTGGTCTTGAATTCCTGACCTCACGTGATCTGCTGCCTCAGCCTCCCAAAGGGCTGGGATTATAGGTGTGAGCCACCATGCCCAGCCCAGAACAACAGAATTCTTAACTCAGGATGGAACTACTTTAGCATGCTCCATTTTAGAAATCCAGGTGTTTGCCTTTATAGACTTATAGCACTGGTGCCTAGAGGAGGTATTGAGTCATTTCTCAAAACATTATTTCAGAGGGCATAAATTAGTATCTGTGAATGTGTGTTTTGGTCTGAAGTCTTCAGAATATTTGTTATGGTAAGAAATATATTGAAACACATTGCTATGCTTACTAAGGAAGGATGTTATCTTAGTCTGTTCAGGCTTGCTATGATACCCTTTAAAATACCTTGCTGGGTAATTTGTAAACAATAGAAATTTATTGCTCACAGTTCTGGAGGCTGAGAAGTCCAAGATCAAGGCACCAGCAGATTTAGTGTTTGGTGAGAGCTGTCTCCTTCATAAATGGTGCCTTGTTGCTGTGTCCTCACATGGTAGAAGGGGTAAGAGAATTCCCTCAAGTCTCTTTTATAAGGATACTAATCCCATTCATGAGATTGGAGCCCTCATGACTTAATCACTTCCCAAAGGCCCCATTTCTTAATGCTATCACATTTGAATATTAGGTTTCAACATGTGAATTTTGGGGGGACATCAGCATTTGGACCATAGCAGATCTTGTCAGTATTCCTATTATCTCCATGATGATTTACTAGAAAAATGTATTTCAATTGTTAGTACCAGGAATAATTGAGCTTCTCCCATGATACTAGTTTAATTTTTCCTCATAGACACTATTAGTCTTAATATTGGTTGTGTTGCTATTTGTGTTAGCTACTTGAAAGTTTAGAGCTCACTTCAGAGCCAATAATTTTTTAATTTAAAATTTTATTTTCCTTAAATTTACATTTAAAGATTCATTTTCAGTTTAGGAAAACTTCTAAGTGTGTTTAGAACAGTCTAGGTATATGAATTTAGTTTTTATAAATTGCATACAATTTAAATACATGAAGTATTTCTAATGAAAATTTAGCAACTAAATTCCAATGTTTTAATGCAAAATACAGTTTTAAAGACTAAGTACCAAAAAGGTAAAATTCTTATTATTATTTTTGAGACGGAGTCTCTCTGTGTTGCCCAACTGAAGTGCAGTGATGCGATCTCTGCCCACTGCAACCTCTGCCTCTTGGGTTCAAGCAATTCTCCTGCCTTAGCATCCTGAGTAGCTGGGATTACAGGTGCGCCACCACACCCAGCTAATTTTTTTTTTTTTTTGTATTTTTTGTAGAGAAGGGTTTTCGCCATGTTGGCCAGGCTGGTCTTGAACTCCTGACCTCAAATGATCTTGCTGTCTCAGCCTCCCAGAGTGCTGGGATTACAGGCATGAGCCACTATGCCCGGCTGCAAAATGAATTTTTATATTGATTGCATGTTGAAATGATAATCTTTTATGTATGTTGTTTTAAAACATATTATTAAAATTAATTTTACCTGTTCCTTTTTGTAATTTTAGTGTTACCATTAGAAAATTTAAAATTATGTATTTGTTGTTCTCTTTTCTTTTTTTTTTTTTTTTTTGAGACGGAGTCTCACTGTGTCTCCCAGACTGGAGTGCAGTGGCGCAATCTCAGCTCACTGCAAGAAGCTCCACCTCCCGGGTTCACGCCATTTGCCTGCCTCAGCCTCCCGAGTAGCTGGGACTACAGGCGCCCGCCACCATGCCCGGCTAATTTTTTGTATTTTCAGTAGAGACAGCGTTTCACCGTGTTAGCCAGGGTGGTCTCGATTTCCTGACATCATGATCTACCCGCCTCGGCCTCCCAAAGTGCTGGGATTACAGGCGTGAGCCACCACGCCTGGCTGTTGTTCTCTTTTCTGATAGGCAGTATATTTTTATTAGATGGCACCATTCTGAACCATGAGCTTTCCTAAAGGGTTAATAAAACTTTCTCAATATCTTCTAAAGTGACTGGTTCATTCAGTTTTTCTGTGTCTCCAGAATAAACTTCGATCGTTTATATTTTCCTCAAAAAATTTTCTTCAAATATATTTTCTTTTTTTTATTTCCAAGTTTTATTTTAAGTTCTGGGGTGCATGTGCAAGATGTGTAGGTTTGTTACATAGGTAAACATGTGCCATAGTGGTTTGCTGCACAGATCGTTCCATCACCTAGATATTAAGCCCAGCATCGATGAATTATTCTTCCTGATGCTCTGCCTCCTCCCACCCCTCATTCTTCGACAGGCCCTAGTGTGTGTTGTTCCCCTCAATGTGTCCATGTGTTCTCATCATTCAGCTTCCACTTATAAGTGAGATCGTGTGGTATTTGGTTTTCTGTTCCTGCATTAGTTTGCTGAGGATAATGGCTTCCAGCTCCATCCATGTCCCTGCAAAGGACATGATCTTGTTCCTTTTTATGGCTGCATAGTATTCCATGGTGTATATGTACCACATTTTCTTTATCCAGTCTATTATTGGTGGGCATTTAGGTTGATTCCATGTCTTTGCTATTGTAAATAGTGCTGCAATGAATATACATGTGCATATATCTTTATAATAGAATGATTTATATTCCTTTGGGTATATACCCAGTAATGGGATTGCTGAGTCAAATGGTATTTCTGCCTCTAGGTCTTTGAAGAATTGCTACACTGTCTTCCACAGTGGTTGAACAATTTACACTTCCACCAACAGTGTAAAAGCATTCTTTTTTCTCCACAACCTCGCCAGCAGGTTCTCTATTCCGTTCCATTGGTGTATGTGTCTGTTCTTGTACCAGTACCATGCTGTTTTGGTTACCATAGCCTTGTAGTGTAATTTGAAGTTGGGCAGTGTGATACCTTCAGCTTTATTCTTCTTGCTTATGATTGTCTTTGGTATTTGGGCTCTTTTGGGGTTTCATAGGAATTTTTAAATATTTTTTTTTCTAATTCTGTGAAGAACGTCAATGGTAGTTTAATGGGAATAGCATTGAATCTATAAATTGCTTTGGGCAGTATGGCCATTTTTACATATTGATTCTTCCTATCCATGAGAATGGAATATTTTTCCATTTGTTTGTGTCATCTCTGATTTCTTTGAGCAGTTGTTTGGAGTTGTCCTTGAAGAGGCCCTTCACTTCTCATTAGTTGTCTTCCTAGGTATTTTATTCTTTTTGTGGCAGTCATGAATAGGATTTCATTCATGATTTGGCTCTCATAGAGCCAATAATTCAACAGAGATTAGAGTTAGGATCTCCTAAACTTGTGACCTGATACTTTTTTTACACTTTATCTATGATGATTTATTTCCTCAAACCAACATTTAGGTCACATGGCCCCACAAAGAACTTTTATATTATTTCCATGTAGGAGAGGTTGATTGGAAGATGTAGGTTAGCCTAAATAACAAAATATGGTAATTTCCAGAAAGTCATTGGTTTATGGAAATAGAATATCTAAAATTGTAACTATTTGAGAAAATTTAGGCCATAAGTTTGTATTACACAACAATGCTTTAATGAAAACAAATTAGTTCCCACTTAAAAGTCTTTTATATATAGTGTTTGTTACTATTATTAGAACTAGATTTATCTAATCTCCTCCTAATCTCAATATATAATCTCTTAATACTTGGTGGCTCTTTTCAGTCTTTAAAAACCCTTTATCATCTTGAAGTTGTATTACTATATCAGGCTTAATTTGCTTTAGACTAAAATTTAGGTGATATAAAAAGATTTATTAATGCTACTTCATGTTTTATTTGTTAAGGTAGATAGTGGCTACAGAATGTACCTTTTATTATTATTTAAACTGTACATATATATTCTATTAACTCTTTCCTATGTATATAGTATTTTATAATAAATTCATAAGATTAAAATAAATCTGTGAACCGAAGCTGCCTTTTGTTTTTGTAAGAGTCAGTTTTTTCATTTTCTTCTTCTTCTTCTTCTTTTTTTTTTTGAGATGGTGTCTCACTCTGTCGCCCAGGCTGGAGTACAGTGGCGTGATCTTGGCTCACTGCAACCTCTGCCTCCTTGGTTCAAACTATTCTCCTGCCTCAGCCTCCTGAGTAACTGGGATTACAGGCACGCGCCACCATGCCTGGCTATTTTTTTTGTATTTTTAGTAGAGACAGGGTTTCAACAAGTGGACCAGGCTGGTCTTGAACTCCTGACCTCAGGTGATCCACCTGCTTCAGCCTCCCAAAGTGCTGGGATTACAGATGTGAGCCACCGTGCTTGGCCAGTTTTTTCATTTTCAAAGAACAGATAGTATTCTCAGTAGTTCAGAAGAAGATAAATTCAGTTCTATGGATATGCATTAGATAAAGTATTATAAACATGCATAGATTACCTTTATGTCTAAAATTAGGCACAAACAGAAAGAGCCTATATCTACATATTCTCTAAACAGGGTAGAATCAAACTTTGATGTGCTAGCTGCATTTGCTTGACTTGGATCATTTTTCTAAAAATGAAAACTTCACAGTCAAACTCTTGGATTGGTGAATGCTTCCTGAGGCCTCTTTTGCTGAGACTCCAGAAACAACACAAAGGATTTTGGAGTTAACTGACACAATTAAATTATATGAAAAGCTCAATAGTGCAAAAGATTAATAATAGGTTCATCTTAATAATATCATAAGATGTAAGAAACCTTAATGTCATAAGACATTAAATCATGCCAGTGACATCACAAGACAGTGCATGATCACCTGGAAGGCTTTGAGAAGTAAGTGCTAGAAATAAGTAAGGAGACAGAAGCTTGATTGGTCTAAGGTCAGTGTGGACCTTCAACTGAATTTTGAAGCATGTTTAGAATTGGAAAAGATGAGGTATGTATGTGAGATGAGGATTGAGGGTGAATGGTAGTGGGGGATGGATAGGGAAGGGCACTGAGTAACATTCACGGAACATTAAACTGTGTGCCAGATACTGTGGCTTGTACCTTTATCTCGAGGGTGAGGCAAGCAGCCCATGACCATTAGATGGTGTGGAATACTCTGGGATCAGATTGTTTTCATTTACTATTAGGTATGTTAGGTTTCCCTCTAAGTCTCATGATCCCCATCGGTTAAAAAGACACAATAGTAGTGTTTATTTCTAGGGTTAGATAGCTTACAAAAGCACGTAATTTATAAATGATAAATATCAAGCGCTCAATGAATGTTAGCTGCTATTATTATTGTGATGATGGTTGTTATATGGAGATCCAGGGGATAGTCTACCCTTCCTCAGAGGTTACTAATCTAGGCCTCTTTGATATTTCTTTTCTTGTGAACTTAGAACTTCTATAATACACTTTTGTTTTAAATAATCTATTATCATGTACTTTCTTTGGAAATTCCTCAAGATCAGGGATCTTTTAATATGTAATATGTCTCCCATCCCCAAAGTGTCTGGCCTACTGTTGAACACATAGGTGTGGAGTTGGTTGATTTCGCAGATTATTGCACAGGGAGATGTTACATTTTCCTAGGAGGTGTATGTTGCCTTGTGCTATTTTCCTCAACCCCACCT